TTTGCGGTGGAATTTCTTTCCTCTGACAAGCACCTGAATGAGTGTCCCAAACGCTTAGTTTGTATGTAACCACTAGTCTTCCTAAAGTTATCTGAATTAAGGAAAGATCCTGTAGGACCCCTGTCTTTGTATCCAAATAAATCAGGGATATGTACATTGGAAGCTTCCCTTATTACTAAATCCATACATCTTTTGAAGACATTGGTTCTCCCATAGAAGTCTGGGGGGACTCTACGTACGGGACCATGTAGCATTAGGTAATTCTAACCGTAAGTGCACAAAAGACTGGTGAAACGACTGAAGAGCAAGGGAACAAGAAAATAAGCTGAAACATTTTTGTCTATCCACACGAAACAATACAGACCATGTACTACAGCTTTAATCATCTCTTCAACATTTCTTTGCACGTACAACCTTTAATCAACGCACCTCATCCCAGCACCACTGGCTGTGAGCATCTGATGCAGGAGTTTGCTGTGACAGAATGCAGAAGCAACTGTGAAGAGTTTACAGTACTATTCCTCTAAATGCAAAGAGGCTAACATCTCAGTAGGGACTGAGAAATGTTCCAATAAAGCTGAGCTGTTGGGAAACGTCAGGCTGTCAAGCCTGAAATGCTTTGAACCCAACTTTTTAGGTTCAAAAAGCTTCTGTCAATTTTACATTTGTGTAACGCGTGAAAAGACATGGAGGCGAGATGTGAATTGGTAAACGCATTTCTCTGGCATTTAAACATTTGTCAGAATAGCCTCTTGTTTCTTAATAACCCAGACTGGGCAGAAAAAAACCCAGCTGTATGATTTTGCCTTTTTTTTGAAGGTATCATCCAAAACCAGCCAATTGCCAACAACAACAAAAATAAACATATTCAAGGTAACATGTATTAAGCACATTTTAAAATCAAAGTTAGAAGAAAAAATTTAACAGATTGAAATATTCCAGCGTAACGCTCCACACCCTAAGACCACACACAAAGATCAACAAAGTTGAGCCACATCTGAAGTCCATTCTAGAACGTAATCTTAGCTGATGAGCTGTGTCTTCCCATCTATGAATTTGCCCTTAAGGACATACTTTTCCAGTTAAGCATTTTAATAAGACTCCCAAATGAGCTTTTGTCTATCATGAATTCATTGTTCTGCTGAACTGCAATTCTTTGCTGCTGGAGGCTCACCGTTTTCAAAATGTAACTCTCAGCATTTGTTTTCCCCATATATCCATAATCATCACGGCACTATTACTAAGAACCTTCACAAAGTATTCAATTGCAGTCACTCCGAGCTGCAGGAATTGATGAATGTGGGCAGCATTTAGTCGCTACAGAGCTGGTATGGTCAGAACGGAGCGTGTCTCAGGGCTATGATGCTACATTGTCAGTTAGCAGGGAAATTCTGTGCTGAGGTGGGAAGTACAAACTCCATCAAAGGCTCTCATCCTCTTGTGTAACGTGTTACTGAAAAGTTACCGCTGTCAGTATAAACAAAAAACAAATGACATGCTGTGGAGCAGTCCAGCTGCATTTGTACCTTTGATGGAGATGGAATGGCTAGGCAAGCTACCGTAAGTGACAGAGAAAAAAAAAAAATTAACAGATGAATGGATTATTTAGCCAAGTTTACTATCATTTGCACTGACCCGGAGATTTAAGATATTTACATGTGAATTATTGTTAGACATGACATCAGCAGAGTCTGGGATATACTACAAAAAATTAGCATGGGACCCCAAAGGGTTAAAAACAAGCAGACAAGAATCCAGTCCATTTAACATTCATATTCCTATGCATACACTGTCTCAGACTGGCATATCATATAATCTTGGGTTGGAAGGGACCTCTTAAGGTCATCTAGTCCAACCCCGCTGCACTGAGCAAGGACGCCTTCAACTAGACCAGGTTGCCCAGAGCCCCGTCCAGCCTGACCTTGAATATAAATTACAGATATGCATCACTGACATGCCGTGCTAGGAACTGCCCCAAAACCTCAAACTACAATTTGGTGATTCAACAGGAAGACTTAAGGCAAACAGAGGAAGTAGGGAGGATGAATACTTAACAAACAGAATTTGTGACCTTATTACTATCAAACTGTGGCACTTGGGACATGCTTCTCCTGTAATTTCACTAATAAGATACAGGGAAGTTAAAGCGATGCCTTCATAGGCATCAGAGATTTTTCTCACACAAAGAGGACATTCCAGAAGATCTCCCAATGATCCTGGAGAAAAAGGCAAACAAGTGGTTTAAAAAAAACAACGCTGACTGGAAGACGACAGGGCTGTAGTCTCTGACAGAAATAGCTAGGGATGAACGGTAAATCTTTTGTTTCCATTGCCACTGCAAGAAAACACATCTCAGCCCAACTTTAGCTGTCTGCCAAACCCTGCCCTCACTTCACCTTAGTCTCCTTCACACGTTCTTCAATTCGGCCCTATGTTTTAAGCTCTCTTTACACAGAAAGAAGAGTCAAATTCTTCCTTAAAAAAATAAAAAATAAAATTAAAGTATCAATCCACCTTCAATACAAAATCATTATCTGGTGGGGCAGTGCAGGAGAAACAATAAAATCCATGAGACTTTTCTACACAAGGTTCTCACAGGAAGCCCAGAAATGCTTTCTATGCCAGGGCATTCGTTCCTCTCCTTGTTTTTACCTAATGGAAATTTAAAAAATTATATTGCAAATAAAAAGAGATTGTATCAAAATAACAGTAAGACAATTCTTCAGCTTCATGACACACACAAATAATTCAAAGTTAAAATCAGATTTGTGATAGTAGATCTGGTGGACATACAAATATCATTCTGGTTATATTTGAAGGCTACATACATCGTCTTTAAATAAAGAATCCAGTGTAAACAATGTATCACCAGCTTTCCACTGCCTTTTCAAGCAAAGGCTAGCATTTCAAGGCAAAGTTTCCCACTTTTCTTCGTAGGTGTACGTCAAATCAGTTATCAAAAATGACCCTTGCTCTATTAAATTGATTGAAATATAAAAGGTATACAACATAATCCTTTTTTATTAAATGTTCAAACTAAAAAAACTTAACTCCCTTTTAAAAAAGTGAAATGATACATCAGCAGAAGCATTTACGGTTCTGAATTTAGGAAGGGCAGCCAAGTAACATGGCACATCACCAACAGAACACGTAATTCCTGGGTGATCAGTGGCATTATGTGACTGCTTCTGTTGCTGCCTGTCACTGCTCAGGGGAACAATCAATTATTGAACAGTTAGCTTCTAAAGACACAGCCCTGGAATATGGCAAAAGAACTGCATGACATCTCACAAGCTCATTTTTTATTTAGCGTGACTGTAGCTCTTGAAGTTATGGAAAGACAAACTACAAATATGTTGTTAAAGACCGAAGGTTTTTTTTAAGCACTGGCAAAACATAATAGGTTAAAAACTGCCAAACTACCCATTTTATCTTGGTAATGCAAAGATCTCCCTACAGTATGCAAAACTGCATGCAAAGAGCTTGTCTGCAGGAAACACCCAATGAAAAGAAAGCTAGAGCATAAATTTACATTACCTTGACCAAGGAAATAGTAGAAAAGTTTTCAGTATTAGCAGAAGTTAGAATTCATCAATCAAAAAGCAGATACAGAGGCTGCAGAGGAACCTTACCAGAACTCGGTCGCCAATTTTGAGCTCCCTTTCTCCTTTCTTTAGTGATCCAGCTTCAGAAAGATTTGATACAGATTCACTTGCAGTTTTTGAAAGATTGCTAATGTGAGAAGGAGTTGAATGTTCCTTAGCAGCAAGTGGTGAAGTTTTCTGTGGAATTCCTGAAGGAGGAAGTGCAGCAGTGGATGAAGACACCATGCTAGCAGCTGACGTGGAAGTTGGTGACGTAGTTCTAGAAGCATGAGCTGTCTGCGTACCGTTGGCTTCATCTTCCGTCAGCACTTTTCTTGTCAATTTTGATGGTCTTGTAAATATTCCCCTCAAGGGTTCACACTGGAAATAGCGAACTCCAGCCACAGAGCCATCATTCTTACCAATTGGTTCATCTAGAACAATCCCTGCCCACTGTCCTGGAGCAAACTGTGTTTCGCCAAGGAACTGAATAAAGCCAGGTTTATTTCCATTGACCCAAACACGCTCCCCAACTCTGAAATCATCCACAAACTCTTCATGTGCGTCTGCAGTGGTTGAGCTTGAGGTCTTTTCACTGGAAGCTTTTTCTGCTGGAGCTAGAATCAAGTACAATGAGAAAAAGCAACAGGAATCAAATAGGCCAATATTGCAGAGAGCATCACCACTTGGTTTCAAGGTAACAAACATCTGAAGAAGCATGACTTCTAAAAGGAAGAGCACAATTCCAAATTGTCTTACTTAACAAAGACACTGTAATCTCTGGAATACAATAATTCAAAGTCTAAGGACAGAGACATTGGATGCATTTAATGTAGGTTTTGGTAAAGATCTTGTAAAGACAACAAGCCTTACCTCAAAACCTACCCAATCATTTTTATCACAATAAGGTTTCTTCAAGGAAAACTGCTTGATCACATCCAATTAATAATTCCAGATATTTTGCATGTTGTACACATCTTTTTTGTTTAGATCAGAAATACAAGCAAAAATACCTTGACGTAAATAGTAAAAATAGTGTGTACTCATAGTCTTCAAGGTACTTCTTGTCAGAAGGTGAATAAAGGAAAAGTTAAGATATTTAAACATTCCTCACCAGCTGCAACAGATGCAGGTGTTTTCAGCAGTGTACTCCCATGCTTGATGGTCTTCGAAGGAGCCTTAAGTCCACTTGGTTTTAACATACTCATCTTTTTGCAATACCAGTGTTAATCCTCTTCGTCTGTAGCAACTATCTTTTTCCAAACATGGATAAAATATATTATTCTAGTTTTTCCAACTCTGGAATAAACCTGTATATAAAAATATTAGACATGAAACAAAAATCAGTATTTCAACTCCTGCAGAAGAAATTTCTACATATATACACACATAGTCTGTGTATGAAATGCGTGATAAAAGATGCTTTACAATAACAACCAGAAGCATTTCCCAGGATAGCATTTCCAACTCCTCACCTTTTGAAAGCCATCTCCTATTAAAAGACACCAAACCTGAACCTAAAACATCAAAATAACTCACTTCAGTAAATGCTGCTGTATTCATCTTGAGCTTTAAACTAGAAGGCTATTTTGAGAAAGAAAAACAAAGCCCTTAACAGCATTACTAACATTACACAGAGATATAACTGCTCTGCACACCCTACTGTTTTCAGCCACATTTTTCAAGTGTTGCAACATCCCAGCAAAAACAGCTCGAGACTCGAGAACCAACTGCAAGAGAAATCAAGAGAACCAGGAATTTCAGGACAAAAAGAATGAAGTTTTTAAGAGAGACTGGAGCTGGAAAACTAAAACTGGTCGACAGTGAGATGATGACAACTAAAAAGTAAACATCCACCTCAGCTGTATGCGATCTTTTAGATCACAAGATACACTGGCTCCCAGTCCCCACCACAGTGCCCCAGCCACACTCCTCTGGAAAGAGGAGGGACTCTTCCCCACGTTGCTAGGATAGAGCACTGCTCCGACTTGGAAGCCAGCTGTAAGCTTTTCGGAGAACTATTTCATGAGGGTTTTGCCACCGGAGGCATCTTCCTTGCGATTACAAAAGCTTTAGAAAGGCTTTTTCATCTATAATGAAAAATCTTCTTTTTTTCCCCCCGTAGGATATGAACTCAAAGCCAAATTGTAAGGCGACTGGTCTCCCCTCATCTTCAAAAACATCAACTGTTCTGCATGAACAAAACTTATTTGCCAAGTCTCATCTATAAGGCACTGCCAGAACAGCTACGCCCAATTCAAAAAAAAGCCAAACTGCACGCACATAAATAAACACCTAAAAAAAAAAAAAAGGGAAACGTAGGCATGTAGCAACAGACTGTTTGCTCAGAACACGACAAACAAGGTCTCAGTCCTGCCGTTCGCTCAGCATTTCGGCCCCAGCGGGCACACGCGCACGGGCAGAAAGCGGCAGGCTCGCCCAAGGCGCGCGTCCTGGGCTCCAGCGCGTCGGAAGGCGAAGCCAACGCTAGCGAAGGAGAGGCTGCTACGCTACAGGCAGGCCAAAGAGACAAGCCGACCGTGTCTTTCACCTACCCGGGTTAAGTTTTACCTCTCATGGATTATTAACAGCCAACGCGTTAGCGCTCCTAAAAATCAATTCACTGTCGGGGGGGTGGGGGGGAAGCGTCAGGCACACTGCTTTGTGAACCTCAACAACCACGCGCAACATTCCTTCTGCAGTTTCAGGAGCAGCCATGCCAAATTCAAGCCGTCTGCAAAATGTTATACTTTGAAAAGCATTAATTACCACCTTGGCTGTACGGTGCTTGTCTACAATTCAAGTTACGCCCCACGAAAACTCTGAAGCAGCGCTGTGAAGACGCTGAACAGTTTTTCTGGCGTTGCCAGAAGTACGTCACCCACCCATCTGCAGCGTTGTAACAGCTGAAGAGAAAGTTTCTCTATCGGTTTCGCAAGACTTATGCCAGTTTACTATTAATTTTTAAGTGGGAGCTTTCATTGTCATCAACACGAAAGCAGGGTTAGCCCTCTAAAATCAAAGCAGAAGGACAGGCATGACTAAGCCATCAGAGCAGCGGGAGGCACACGGCTGTACAGAAGAACAACTAAAGGATCGCATAAAACGTCACTTTGGACACAGCAGCAACACTGTTGGGTTTTTTCCCCTCTTCTACTACACACCTGCCCTCCCTGCTAAACCCAAGTGCATCATATTTCTTCACATTTTGTTCTAGAAATCTTCTAAAACTGCACTTTGCTCTTACATGCCAAGGACTTGAAAAGCCTTCCTCCCGTGCTACCCACCTATTCTTCCTCACCCTGCAGGCCCTGTTCCCTCCCCTCCAATGCCCCAATCTCCGTGCACGCCGCCGTTACTTTCCTCAACCCAGCAAAGTCCATGGAATGCGAAAAAATGTACCCGATAAAGAAGGATTTGGTACAAATGCAGAAATGCAAGAAATTATCAAGATCAGTTCTTTTTAGTTCACAGTCTTCTCTGTCAGTGCCGAAGACCAAACTTGGGGAAACTCAGCAACCTCATTTGGGTCAAAGTCAAGTCCTCCTTGAGAAAGAGTGCCTCCTAAACCAGGAAGCTAGAAGCTGTCTTACAGTATTCCGCCGTTCTTTTCCATATACCTTTTTTGCCCCCAAAGAGCATTCCAGCACCACACAGGTAGTAAACATCTGTATTATGCAAGGACAGGTATATTAAAAGAAAAAAAACACTAAACTACCCCCCAAAATTACATTTTGCCAGTTTCAAATATTTTTTATTAATAGATGTTTAACGAACCTCTGCTCAACAGAAAGTCAGAATGTTCTAATATTGTATTTCTTGGCTCAGGGTACTCATTCATATTTTAATCTTGCTCTCCACAGTCACGGGTTATGTATTTGCTGTGTCATTTGCTTTCTCAATATACAAGCCTTCAACTAGGCCAGAAGTAACACAATCTCTTGTGCCCTGGTTTCAGAGTTACTGCAATTGTAGCTTAATTAAAAAAAAAAAACCCTGCTAAAATACAGGCAACACATTTGGGTAAATTACTGCCTTATTGCAATAGCGAAAATGCAAATTTCGGTCTTAGAAAGAGACAGGACCTTCACAGTAGCATTTCCTAATACAATTCACAAAAAACCCTGAAAGCATGTAAATTTGCATCAAGGGAGTTTAAGCATTATGCACTCCAGCATTTCCTAACAGGCTCCAGCCGTCAATTACTTCATTTCAGTTCTCGTAAGAGAGCAGCTAGCTACTTGTCTCCATTTGCTGTAAGTTTCTCAAAAGATCATAACAAGAACCTGAGGAAATGCCCAGAAAGAGTCTGATAATATGTACCATTAAAGTGTTCAGAAAGCCACGAGTTCTCATAAAAAAAGAGATTTTAAACACAAGCTTTACACTTGTGCCATTACTGGGAAACATATGACTTCATACAAAATGAAAATGCATTACATTCTCGAACGAATTGCAATTTGTGTGTGTCTGTGTGTGTGTTGAATACTAAAAATTTTCAAATGCAGACATGAATGCTTGCATTGACCCTTTTAGCTGATTAATAACATCCTTATTCTTCTTATTTACCTTTCACAGACCTCGAACTAGTGCAAGGATCAAAGCAATCCACGAGCAACAGAAAAGAAATCCTACTAATCTGATAATAGACACGAATCCTGTTGGCAAGGCGAGATTAAAAATAAATAAAGTAAAATTTAACCACATAACCCTGAATTAAAAACGCCAAGTATTTTCCAACTGTCAAACAAGGAATTCCCATAATAAAAAGAGAACAGCTGTCCACCACTGTTTCTTTCAAGACTGCATTTTCAAGAACTAATACTCGAAAAAGAACGAGAACACAACTAAATAAGACGACAGGGAAAACAGTTAAAGCCTCAGCTCCCTCCACTTAAGAACCCTACAGTCGCGACAAGAATAGAACAGTACCAACAGCTCTTTAAGCTCAGTTGGCATCTGACAAGCGTGCTGCCACCACCACACTCTCCTTCCTCAGGAGAGGTAGTGCCAACATTGAAAGTAAAATGCTTCAGCTGATAAAACATCTGAAACAGTGACGTGGCAGTTTAAGGAAGGAACGTTTGCTAACATCACTACTCACGACTACCATGGAGCAGACGCAGTGTTTCCATGGAGAAAGGCAAGTTGTCTGTCCATTTGGTACGAAACAAAGAGGACGTTCTAGAATAGAGCGGCATAATGTTTGAGTTGACTCAAAACAGACTGCAATAATCTCCGTCTTCCGCACGCAGACACACGCGGGCTGACTGCCTGTGCTGTACTTCGAGGCTGGAACACTACTCTCATGGCTTATTTGTATAAGTGAAACAATTATTTTAATCAATGATCATGCGCTATCGGTCATACACGAGTTCTTCAAAACATTTAAAATTAAAAAGTTTAATATTAAACTTAGTTAACACCATTAAGAGACTAAATACTGTTGGAAAATGCCTCTCAATGCCAACACATTTCTAAGCTCGAAAGAGAGACCACTTCAATTTGTTAATTCTGCCAAGCATACCAGGGCTTTGCAAAATACATACAAACATTAAGACTAACAAATACAGAGTAAATTATTCTGAAAGGATTGTGTAGAATAGGTAACTCTGCTGAAAATCTCACAGGTATCTGTGACCAGAGAAGATCATGGGCAAATCCTGTGGCAGTCAACTGGTAGGTATCTAGAAAACAAATTCTGGCCATACCATGAAGAAAATGTAACATGTAAAAAATCAATCAGAAAATCCCTTCTGTAGAAAAGTGATATGGAAAATATATTTCAAAGACCACCACAAACCAGTAACTTCACCTTCCTCAGAGAAAAACAAACTCACCACATGAAGCACTATGTTTGAAATAACAGCCTGAACAGCATTTTTTTAAATATCTCTTTCATACTCTTGATGTTCATACCACTACTACCAAGCTTCATTCCTCAAATATCCTGACAATGGTTTATAGACAGTAACTTGGAATTTTGAAACTGGAAAGTTTTCTTTTCTGGTCCATGAGTTACTCAGAGTGCTCAGACCCTTCACAGTTACAAATGCTTACAGCTCCTAAAATTATTGCAGTATTAAACTTCAAAGCGTATAAGCATCTTCTGTACGATTCAGATCTAATTCCTATTACAGCTCTAAAAGTTGTATTTGTGGTCTCCTAGGCTGGTATTACATTTCTGTCAAAAGTGAGTATATATATT